GTAAAAACTCAATGCATCATTTATTTCAAACATAAGTGAATTATCCAAAACCTTGTTGCCAAGACAAAAATATATTAGTCACTTCCTTAGAGTTCCAAGTAGTTTCTTCTGTCTTATAAAAAAACATAATCAAAACTTATATATCTGTTTACTTTTAGCTCATTGGAGCGTTGTAAATTCTGGCCTAATTGTCGCAATGGTAGTTCCTGTCAGTACATTCATCCCACAGAACCATGCCAGTTGTTTCCACGATGTAAATTTGGAGCAACATGTACATTTGTCCATCCACCATGTCGTTATGGAGCATTATGTAGTCGCCCTGACTGTGCTTTCACACATTCATCGAAAAAAGTATTGCGTAAGTGTTATATATATGTGATGATGCCGTTGCCGACTGATTGTTTTTTATGAATTCTAGTTCACCATCATAATACCACTGGGTTTGCTATTCAGACAGCCAACTAGAAAAACATCTCTTTTTCGTTTAGTTCTAAATGAAGATGTGGGTTTATTTTCGGACATTGTTTGGCATTATGTAAGTGTAACGCGTACTATTGTGACTTATGGTCCGTCAAATATCACGTAACAAAATCGCCAATCAAAATACCGACTTCTATGACCTTGTCCCTATGCTAAACTAACAACGCGTTAACAATCATGAGCAGCCTTGAGTGTCAACTAGGAATCCTTATTGGTCTTCAACATAGTAGCTTCACACCTAGTCCAGCCAGATCAGACTAGAACACAAATGTTAGCCTCCACTGTTTGAGTATTATGTTTCAGACATACCTTGTTTGTTATACAAGCAGACTAGGCTCCGTCACACCATAAAGTGAAAAGTATTAGTTATACAAGATCAAGCCAAAAGTAGCTGTAAGTATGGAAGACTGTAATTAATAGACTGGGAATAAATTAAGAGTGGTAAGTCGTATAATAGTCAAATGATATATATAATCTAGTTACTTAACAATTTTTCAATAGGAATATATGTAATGATAGTCCATAAATAACTCAACGGTTACCATCCATTTACTCTTCGTTGGGATAAACCTGAAAATTGCACGTTTTAATTCAAGTCTAAATATTTCGTTAGCAGAATTTAAATTTATTCCAATAACTCGGATCATAAAATCACTAGAAATGTATATTTCCAAAACATTTAGCAACAAAAGTTAAACCATAACGGAAAATTTCATTGCAATGGTACTGACAGCTTTGTTTAGTTTGTCACATAAGCTACCATTGTCTTCCTGTAAATCTTACATTATTATATGTGGTTTTCACCACCTGATGAAGTAAAAATGATTTTCTTTTACCAAACCATCTAATACTGCAAGTATATCTATATCTAAAGTTAAAAGTAAGAAATCCTAATTTACATTTAAAATAAGCATCTTTTCTTAATTGTCTATGTCTCAAAGACATAGACAAAAGTAAAATCTAGAAAGAATTGTGCTCTGATATTAGCATTACTTGAAGCCAAGTACAAAATACAAGACTGTTCTATTAATTGGAAATGTTAACCTTAACTAATTTATCTATTTATATGATTCTCTAATGTAGTTTACTCATTTATCGATAGTTTAATTGTTGATATTATTTAATAAAGCAATACTTGATAAATCCACTTCATATAATACCAACACCACATTTGTGTCCGTAATAAAAATTTGAAAGATTATAAAACAAAGACAAAAATGAAGCTGTATATGGCGAGAACCTAACACAATCATGGACCTGTTCAAATGATTACATCACCCAGTATCTAGCTGGAATGAAAGTTGTGTTTTATAAGTAATATTATTTTTGACCAAATACTAATGTCTAAGCATCGTGATAAACACTTTTAGACCATGCCGTCCAAATTCCAGACAATATTTCACGTGTAATAATAACAACTTTATTTTCATTAAAAACAACCTATGTACGTCTGATATAACTATGCATTCGCAGTAAATTAATTTGAATTAATGACTTTTATATTGTTAATCAGAACCATTACTTAAACATCCCAATTTTGTGTTATCCTCTTATAGGAGACGTTGTAGAATTAATCTAGCAGTATTAATTTTCACGTACTAATGTGTGTCTGTGTGTGGGGTTACAGAACCGTCCGTTTATTAATGTATGCTACGTTAAAACGAATATGAATTTTTTTAATTATCTGTTTAATTTACTATTTGCGTTTTTATAGCTGTCGTATCTGCCAACCCAGCTCAAATAGTATGCCGTTTTCAAAACAGATGTACAAATCCCCATTGTCAATTTTATCATCCACCTGTTGTTGTTCAAGCCCCTCCAATCATTGTTCGAAGTTCAGCTTCAACTGTCCCTGTTTTCAATAGCCAAATCCCATGTCGATATGGTTCTGGTTGTACTAATCGTACTAAATGTCCTTTCCTTCATTCTGATTTACCCTCAGTTGATCAACTTAAATGGATTGCACCTTCCAAGAAACAACAATCATCCAATCCGATTTCCACAAAGGCAAACTCTACAGAGAAAGTAGTTAAGTCTGTAACCACGCTTAAAGAATAATGGATTAGTTGTTATTAGTGTTATCGACTAAAGCTTTTTCAAAGACTATTAGTTAACAATATCGTGTTTTGTCATGCATTTCTGCTGTTTATTTTTTTCAATTTTAATAATAAATAATTGGGAGCTCGTAGTGTTTATATATTGCTGATGGATTCAAATATAAGACATTAATAAAAAAATATTTGAACTTGAGGTGCATGCAGCTGAAAGTTTATCAAGAGTGATTTACTTTCTCGTATTTCTTAGGATTAAAAAAATACAAACGTATGAAGAAAGTGGGTTAAAACTAAGATAATAATATACCTGTAAAATTTTTTATCGATGTTTCAGTCAATAATTTATGATAATTCTGGGTTGTTGTTACAGTAAATTGTCTTACACACCATAATCTGCTGAATATTTTTATCTGACCTAGCAGTACTTGTGGATGTAGTATGTATACATACTCAACAATTATTTGCAACACCGTTGATTCATTTATATCACAACAAAGTATTTTCATACTGAATTTTAGCCATTACCCTAAGTATGTATATCAATTGTGTCAGAAATGTAATAAAACATCCGAGTATTGTTTCTTCTGGACGTCTGAATAGGAAATCAGGGCTGCCTTCGATTCGTTGGACAGGACTGTTCTCTGGAATTGTCTATTGAAAAAGGGTGTGCCTAAAAGCCCTATATACAAACATTTTAGGTAGAGTGAGGACATATAACCACCTCTCTCCGCTGTTCCACTCAAGCAGTGGGGTTAGACAGGGTTGCCCAATATCATCATCCCTCTTGAACTTTGCCATCGATGATATTCTGGAAGCAGCTCTGATGGATGTAAGTAATGGCGGTGTGGATCTGTTGCCTGGAGAAAGACTTCTCGACCTTGAGTATGCGGATGATATTGTCTTACTGTGCGATAACGGCCAAGCCATGCAATCCGCACTTAATCAGTTGGCAATTAGTGTCCATAGGTACGGTATGTGCTTCGCACGTTCTAAGTGCAAAGTACTTTTACAAGGCTGGAAGGATTCTAATCCTGTACTCACCCTGGATGGTGAGCAGATAGTAGTCGAGAAGTCCGTGTATCTAGGTAGCTGCATAAGTGCTGGTGGGAGTGTGAGTGATGAGATCAATGCACGTATCGTGAAAGCCAGAGTGGCTTATGCCAACCTGGGCCACCTTTGGCGCCTTCGTGATGTTAGTCTGGCTGTAAAAGGTCGGGTTTACAACGCGTTGGTGAGAGCAGTTCTGTTCTATGCTTGTAAAACCTGGCCTCATCGAGTTGAGGACGTTAGACGAATCTCTGTGTTTGACTATCGTTGTCTCCGAAGGATTGCTGACACCCAGTGGCAACACTATGTTAGTAATGCAGAGGTTCAGCATCGTGTGTTCGGGCCCATAGACGATAATACAATTGGTGTCACCATCTTGAAACACCGACTTCGGTGGCTTGGACATGTTCTATGAATGTCGTCCCAGAGAATTCCTCGTCGTATCCTGGTTGTAAAAAGCGGAGAGTTGGTCAGTGTATGACATGGTGTCGTGGTATAAAGGAAAGCTGCAATGGGCTGGCTTCTGTTGGTCCTTCACGACTCCCTGGCTGGAGTCCGAGAGATGGTGCTACACAGTGGCTAGAGACGTTATCAGATATGGCTCAGAATAGAAGCCAGTGGCGATCCTGCTGTAACCTTCTTTTACTTTCTTCATAAAAAAACGGTTGTATCTTCCTTAACTGAAAGATTTCTTCTGATTGTACCTTTCCGTTTCCCCCATTATTATTACTATTATTACACCACCATTCACTAATCTGTGAACGTTATTGTTCTTTTTTTTCTTGTACGCACCTTACCTTCTTTTCCCATTCTTATTGTTTTGTGTAGCATATATATATATCTGGTGTCCCCTTGACCCAATATTTATGTGTTCAAATAAATAAATATGAATAGGAACTATGCTGAAATTAAATCATGCCTTAACTTTTGATGTGTTCACAAATTTAAATGAACAATCTAACTTCTTAACTCTCAGTTTATGTTAAGACAGCACACCTGATAAGTATAAATCTAGTCAGCCATACCTTAACAGGCAGTTAAATAAGTTTGATCGTAAATGCAATCAATACAAATATCAAAAAAGCCTTACATTATGTATCATGTATTAAGACATTAAGTAATCAAGTCTGCACATGTCCTGATAATTTTATTTCTTGTTTTATAGATAATGTATCTTAAAACTAATTATCCCAGCGAATATACTTTGTAATTGACTTCCAAATAAGTTATTATTGTTCAACTTTGCAATAAAAATAATAACCATTCTGACAATATTCAAGTGAAATTATCGTGGGTGCACAAAAATCTTACCACTATTATTTTACGCTGTCAAAGTTGAATATGATACAATATAGTGTTTATAACTTGGGAAATGTGAGGGCTTATACCAAGTTACATAAAAATAGAACAAAACAACTTGTCCGAATATTTTTTTATTATGTGGAATAATTAGTCATTATATCCAAATATAAGTAGTATATATCTATACACCTAGTATTATTAGTAGTAGTGGGAATAGTTTGTTTATTAACAAATTCATCGAAAGACAATGTACATACAGACAGTAACAACAACAAAACAGGTTAGAAACGAGAGAAAAAATGAAAAACAAAGGTCTAGACACTTTAGAAAAAACGATCCAGTTTTAGAGGGAAAGGTTAGCCGTAATATTCGACGTTCTCCTTTTACTCCATCTCTTAGTAAGGACAACATGAATAAAAAAAGAAAGCAATTATATCAATTGAAAATGAAAGAAATGAATTAATGACATAGAGAAGTTCTTTTAAGGAAAATGGAATAAGTGTGATCATGGAAGTCACACCACATGTGAATAAATAACATTCATTATTTATCTGTTTCTGAGTTTTTTTCCCCATAAACAATGTATAATCTAGTTATCTACTTATAAATCAAATACTAGTATTAGTTGTTGTAGAAAAGGAATCTTCACATTAAAAACAACAAATACAATAATCATCCATTACAAGTTGGAAACACACATATATGAAAGCAAAGGAATTGAAAGAATATGTATAATCCTGTTGAAAGTGTACATACAACAACAAAATATGGTCAATAAATATTTCTTTTTAACAAAAGTAAATTAGAATTATAATACTAGACGGAAAAATTACAACAGTAGTTAATCACAAATAATGACAAAATTGCGACTTTCAAGTTATCTATCATTGGTGAATAGATTGTGTTTTTATCGTAGAAAATAATTCCTCTAAATGTTTATAAATGAAAATATGTATATTTGTGTGCATGTGTAAACAGGGCATTTATTAGTTGCATTATAAACACTGTGTAACACTCTCAACATACATGGATGATATATAAGTACACATGAATTTGATCCCTGTTTTTTTCTATTAGTATTAGTACATTGTGTTTAAAATATTTTTAATCATTGTCTACAATTTTAATAAACATACAATATCTAACAGTAAATAGTACAATCTAGTTGTAAAGGTGATTTGTCAACAAAATCTATGACCATAAATGTATTCAGTTATTATAATTATTATTCATATTTTCAGACAACATTCTAAATGAAACATAGAAAGTACTAGTGTTTTCTTTTTATTCAATGTGAATAGAAAAATGTTTATTGCACAGAACACATTCAAATTATATGTAAACATATATGTATTTTTGAGTGCGTAAACAACCGTAAAATGTGTACATACATATTTAACAAAACGTTTGAAAGTTTGAACGAGCGGAAGTAAAGATAGCGAGTTATATCACAGACGTAATACTTTTCAACTCGAAGATTCATATGTCTATACGAATACCGAGCATTTATATCAATCACATAACGATGGAGAGTGTATATGAGTAGAAGGGATAGGGAAATAGATTGTACAACGATCTGTTGTTTGACGAAAAAAAAGTCAGCTTCTAGGTTGGGAAACACTGACGAAACTCACTGACTAGTTACATGAAACTAATAAACTTGATGTAGATCAATTAAATTAAAACAATACAACATTTTCCGTCTATATCCACTCTACACTACTAGTCACAATGCATAATTAGTCATAACAGTATGCAAACGTTTACAAAAGTATGTTTGGTGTGTGTGTGATTAGTGGAGTGAGCATTTGACATTTGTAATGATAAGAAATTAACTTTATCCACATATAGAATAATGATGATGACAGTAGTAATACTGTGTTCTTGGTCTTAATCAATGTTGAGACACTATCAATAGTGCTAATGTAATTTATGTCATGAACACTAGGATGATACATTGAAGAAAATAGTATAAACACCTGTCACATCACAACACAGACAAGAAGAAAAAGACGACAGTAGTGTTCACCCTGAGGAATAATAATAAACAGAACAATGATATGAGCAAACAAACGAACACCAAAATAACTGAAATCTGTTTATGCAGTAAAATCAATCAGAAAGAAATGCTTGTTTTTATCGTTATTGAATAAGAATCTAGATGACAGTTGCACGTTTCAAAGCTAAAAGATCTTCTTCATATTTACGGATAAATTCTTCACGTTCCTGACGGGAGTGTAAAGGAAAAAAAGTGTATAAGATAAATATAAATTGTATAGAAGAAGTATGACTTTTTTTTAGTTAATACACTAAAAGTGTTTACTTTAAAATTACTTCTATTTTAAACGTGTCTATAGCATCAACTGTCCCAGAGTGAACATCAACTCTCTGAGATGCAGGTACATCCAGCTGACGAGTCCCAAATAGGACGAAACGCGCGTCCTGGATTCCACTGCTAGCCACTATCCATCATTGCTTACAAATAACTTTACTTTCTTTCACAATTTTAATAAAATTAAATCTCTTATTTAATATCGGATAAATAAATAAATGAAAAGATTCATCAAATGGTGTCAACGCATTAGTCTACAAGGCAAATTTATTATATTACCTTAAATAGCTTGAATACATGAATTTTATTAGATATAAATATTGCACATAAAAATAGCTGACCATGTATCAACCACTTAGGAAACAAAGATAATAAAAGATACAGAAAATGTACACTTGGTTGACATGGTAATAATCAAGATTACTATTAAACAATAGAAGGTGGTTCATGAGAACTTGTAATTACTTTTTTTAAAATTTTATTTATCTAATTCCCGTATACAACACCAGCGCATAATGTTGTCACACAATTCTCTGATTGAAAATGTAAAAACAAAAGCGCCATCAAACAAAGAGATGATATGTGAAAGTGAAATATGATTGGTCATTGAGCGTGGACAAACAGCCACATCCTAAAGACTATTAAATATGTGATTTTCTTTCTAATCATTTCTACTATGAATTCATTGTGTGACTGCTTGTAGTTGTAAGGATTAAAGTATTCTCTAGTGTTAATCTGATTCTCTATTTTGGCTCGCGAATCCTGGTTCTGATATAACGTGAATAGTAGTCTTATTAACGTATTATCGTAATATACGTGTAACAGAGTAAAATATTTCAATCATTCGTTATATCAAAAAGATTATTAGAAAAAATTAATGAATTGAAATGAAAACAAATTTATTACTTTTTTAATTCCGTTGATGATATCTTGTTCATCTAAAGTATGACGTTTATTTAATTCTTGTGTTTGTTTATCATGTCGTTGAGCTTGTAGTTTACGTTGATCTATAAATCGTTTTGTATTATAATCATTTAATTCGCGTATACGACGATCACGTTCTGCTTTATTGCGTAATTTACGATCATTCATTACGGAACGGTTTGATTCAATTGAAGCTTTAGTTTGTTGTGCTTTCATTTCTTTCACTTCACGATCTTGTATAATGCGTAATTCACGTTTCTGTTCTTCTTGAACCTCTTTCATAATCTAAATATTAAACAAGAAAATATATTTACTCGGTACTGTTTACTTGAACCTTTCCAATGACGTGTAGGACTGCGATTGATCAGTCTCTTATTGACATATGTGCATCCTATGTAGATTGCATCGTTATTGCCCTAATTCACAAGCATTATAAGCAAAGATAGATAGTGGCTAACAGTAGAGTCTAAGACGCACGTTTCATCCTATTCGAGACAAGTCAGTTCGATGTACCTCCATCCCTGTGTTGATATTCGTTCTGTGACTCGAACTCAGTACCGTTCAATTCAAACACCATCATGTTATCCACTTACCTACTGAGTCCTGATAGTCGTCAGCTTATGCAATGGTGTGAAATTTAATTCACTTTTCTATTGGTCGTTCGAATATTCCTATTGATGTTTAGGATCCCACTACTAACCACCATCCATCTCTGTTTATAATTCAATTTTGAGATAGTTTCCGTGAAAGACTGACCGTAGTTGATGAACCATTGAAAACAGAAATATTCACTGGAACAGATGTTCCATTCTAGTTTAATGTCTTCATCAGACCGTGATGAATGGTTAGATGAATGATTGAATTTACAGTCGTCAAGTCTCAATGTGAGACTATTGGTTGTGAAAGGAGCTACCAGGACTCAGCAGCCAAGCGGATAATGTGATGGCGTTTCAGGCGAACGATACTAGATTCGAGTCCCATAGCGAACATCAACTCTGAGATGTAGGTACATGCAGCAGACGAGTCCCAAGTAGCACGAAACGCGCGTCCTGGATTCTACTGCTAGCCACTATCCATCTTTGCTAAGAACATACGTTTCATGAAATAAATAGTTAACCAAAATACGTAGGAAAACATTTAAACAATAGTACTGGTTAATTCACAAAGAGATTACAGTCGAACAAGTATCGAAGACCAGGAAGCATTGGATAGATTTTTCGTTGTATTGTGGAACATCTTATCAGTGAGCGTTCATAACTCCGCTAGAGATCGAAGCCAGAATCTTCAATTCTTGGGGCGAGTGCCGAACCCTTAAACTACTATAAATCATTGGATGCCGACTAAGTGGTCTACAGGTTAAGTGCTCTCCATGAGACCTGAAAATTTTCAGTAGATTCGTGAACGCCTGTGAAATGTCGTACTAGGTTCTAAAGCAATGGTATGAAGATGTCAACTTTTATAACAACCCTGAAGAGCATAGAGATATCACATGCCTATTTTCACACATTAACCCAAGGTCAAACGGTAGGCGAGACATTATGTATGAGACATGCTATTTGAGGAAGTAGATTCTGAACTTAACCATGGTCATAACCCCTACATATCCTAGTCTAGGTGAGAAGGAAAATGGTATGATGTGTATCTGTTATTTATATACATTGTAATTTAGTTTAGCATGTAGTTGTTCATGTAGTCGTCTCATGAGTATAGTGGGCTCGGTATACCTTAGGAAGAGCATATAGCAACCTAATCGGTCACCGCAACACAATTTCAAGATGAGTTAATCTATTACAATACTGAGTTTTCAAAGTGTTAGCAATTTATTTTACAAGGAATTTTTACACTACTATAATTTAATATAACTGAACAAGTAAACGACAGAATAAAAATCGAAAATAATTTATATCGAGAATTGACATCAGATTGTAAAAATAAACAGCTATTTTACGTGCGAACGGTTAACCTCTAGACTATTCAGTCGGAATCCAATAGTGTATATGTCTAACTTCAATCAATTTGAGATATTCTACAGCTATCTTCCATTCCCTCTGGCGAAAAATTCTCACACTCTTTATGGTTGAATTCCACTAGTCCCAGCTTCTCACTAGAACACATGGAGGAGACCAGTGCTTTTTGATTCTCAGTGGTGGTCAAACCAAGATCAGTTCTTGGTTTAAACAAGGAAAACAGAGAATTTACTAATTCTACGAGTATTAATTTTCATCTTTAGCAAAAGATGAAAATAAAAGACCTACATTATTTTCAAAGTATGATTTGACTGAGATTATTTAGCAAATCATAGATCGATAAAAATAACAGAAGAAACAGAAAAGAAGCAACACAAGACAACAACGACAAGAAACACTATTTTAAAGTAAAGCAAGAAAGAAATAACAGCATAAAATGAGTTCATTTTATAATTCAAGGCTTCTTAACAAGTTGGAATTGGCTTTAAACAATGAAGTCAAGTTCGAAACAACATACAAAATTTTTGAACTTTATCATTTGAAAGCTGTGTTTGAAAAGGAGTAAAGTACGCTCTCACAGATTTATGATCACTAACCACTTAATTGACAGTATATATAGTTTGTATATTTTTAATGCGTTTCAAATAATTGACAAGCAATAAATAAAGCTTTCAGTTAACTTTGGATGGGTTGTTATGATCGAAAGCCTTCAACCTGACGTTGGACATGGTAAAATAATCATAATGGTTTAACATTCTTCCATTACACAGCCATTCACTGACAACGTTAATACAGATTTTGCATTAACTAGATGACCTAATTATGTAACCACTCATTCGTTAAACAATTTACTCATTTAACATCTCAACAGCTAATAATAACACATTTTACTTTTTATGAATTCATTTTCAACATATAAGTACTAATCATTTTAAACAACTACGTTAAGTATATTTTGTCTTTGCTAAAAAGATATATAGTTGTGTAGTTTTTTTCATTATTACATCTTATTTGTTTCTTAAGAGGATAATACATCGATAACATTTTACTAATTTGAATTTTCATAATAATATTTGTCGCTACTTGACTGATTATCATGGCTTTTAGTTTGCAAACTTTGTATTTAGTGACATCTGAGGACCTTTAGATATAACAGAGTCGTTTCTCTTCAAATGTGACTTCCTGAAAGTTCCATCTCCTCTATTAATATGCGAACTATTAACTTTTAAGTTTTGTTGTATGATAGACATCCCGACTATTGGGGTTCCTATTCATTGCGTAGTATTAGGAGAATCATTAAATGTGGGTAAATGGAATTTAATGTAGTTTAACAAGAAACTCCAATAATTTAATCGTTCTTGATAGGATCTGAACAATCTTCTTCATATTCCTAATGTTTTTCGCGTGTTGTTTTTAAATAAAATTCATTGACTTCCTGTATGAAAAACGGTGCTTATTATGGTACTATTAGTAGTAATTTGTAAGCTCTGCTGTGGCTGATGAGGAGCTTCGAAATCTTACGAATTCACGCTATTCTCCATAGATTGTCGTACTTTATTTGTAGTTATTAGATGAAACATTAATATTGATATAAGAATAATAAAAATATTGTTATTTTTTGTTTTCTATCATTTATCTTACCTTAATTAATAAATCTTTACGTGAATCGAAAAAGCTCAACACTAAATCATAAACTTCTTTCATTTGTGTTGATTTTAGACTACTCCATTGATCTGTATGCTGACGGACAAGTTCACACATCTAAATGAATAAACAAATAATATAAAAACAGAGAAATATAAGAATAATTAAGAAGTGATTGTTTCGAAGACAAATAAAACACTAAATAGAATTTTATAGAAATGAAGTTATGATTGTTAAAATGAAAGTTAACAATGTTCATTGATAGATGATAAGCAATTATGATACAAAATATAACTGAATGGTAATTATTTATCCAGATTATTATTATTATCAGCTTTATTCAATATTATATTTTTGGTACAATATAGAATTCTCAGCGCAAAGTATTTCAACAAGTTTCCGTTTCTTTCTTCTTGGTCGGTCCTGGCGATAAATATTGAGGAATCGCCAGTTAGATGTTAGCACTTCAGTGAATGAACAACTGAATAATGTACATTCTTTTCGTTGTATATTGCCAGCAACCACATTGTCTCTTATTGAGTTTTTTGTAACTTTGACAACGAAAGGTTGTATACTTTTCAGAAACGCAGCAGGATAGGTTATGCGATTAACAAACATAATGATATATTAAAACAAACAAAAATAGATAACTTGTTGAAATATCTACATGGCAGGAACAGGTAGCCCAGATGCTCAAGCAGGCCGTCAACATTGACCCCCTATGGATGGTTTAAAATCAAAGATAAAAACTATTAACCAGAAGAATAGGTTTCTCTTTACGATAACATTAATAATATGCTTATACAAAAAAAATACTAACAAAAAATTAAACATGAATAAATAGCATAAGTTCACTGGAGAAATTAGTTTGCTCAATTAACTTCAATAAATTAGGAAATAATTGTTCAACTTCATTACAGTACAAAATGGTCTAAGTTCTTCTTTTTTTTGTTTCACATCTGTAATGTTTTCGATTGTACAATCTAATTTGTGAATTTTATAGATATTTAACTTAAGAGTACTTGATTAAAACCAATCTGAAATTAACAATTGTGAAAGAAATTATCATAACATAAAGAAAGGTTGAAATGAAAAGAATTATTACCCAATCAGTAGATGTATTTGGATACAATTGAACTGTGAGATTCATAAGCAAGTGAAAATAAATTAATGACAAGGTTCAACTATGTCAGGAGGGGGAACAGCTATCATCTATGGTAATAATGATATTAAATAATTGTCGAGTTAAATTATGGATTAAATATAAAAAAATCCAGTGTTTTATGTTTATCGATTGAGTTAAAATAAGTAAAAAAAACACTGAATACTTAATTCAATGATCTAAAATTAATGGGCTCACAGTGAGACTTGACGACTGTAAATTCAATCATTCATCTAACCATTCATCACGGTCTGATGAAAACATTAAACTAGAATGAAATATCTGTTCCAGTGAATATTCCTGTTTTCAATGGTTCATCAACTACGGTCAGTCTTTCACGGAAACTATCTCAAAATTGAATTATAAACAGAGATGGATGGTGGTTAGTAGTGGGATCCTAAACATCAATAGGAATATTCGAACGACCAATAGAAAAGTGAATTAAATTTCACATCATTGCATAAGCTGACGACTATCAAGACTCAGTAGGTAAGTGGATAACGTGATGGTATTTGAATTGAACGGTGCTGAGTTCGAGTCACAGAACGAATATCAACACTGTGATGTAGGTACACCCATCTGACTTATCTCGAATAGGATGAAACGTGCGTCTTAGACTTCACTGTTAGCCACTATCTATCTTTGCTTATAATCCTTGTGAATTAGGGCAATAACGATGAATCAAGCCAATATTGAGGTAATACGCACAGTCCTAAATATCAATGGGAAGATTCAAGCAACCAATACAAAAATGAATCAAAGTTGGATGTTTGGCCTGCAACTAGCCGATCAAAATTAACCCGTAGAAAAGTATTGAAATGCTGGAGAAATATTTACATCTCAGGCAAAAAAGAAAGTTAAGTCTCATGATCATATACAGAATAACATTAAAAGCTTCAATGTTGTCACACAACATCAGAAAAAAGAAAAAGAAATATTTTTTTAGCGTTCATAAATGGGTTTAATGTTATCACAACCCACCAGACATCAATGAAATCAAGTTTAATGGAGGTAATATCAATGAACAAATTTTATGAATTATATTCCAATTAGTGACAATCACAACAAACTAAAAAAACAAACAAACTATTATCATTCACCATAGAAATTACAAGCTGAAAAAGTTATATACCAATCAAAGTATTTAAAAATGATACTTCACATTGATAAAATTCTATGATGATGCATTAAAATGTTCTAATGAAAAAGAAATATATGAATGAAACTTTCAAACGTATGAAAATTCTGTATTATTATTATTAGTCAATTATCAATTATGTAATTTTCATTGTACAATAATTACATAATATGACGAATTGAAAATTTTCAAATTAAAGGAAGAAAAAAACAGAAACCATTGCATCAATAATTTTTTCATACATAAATGTTACATAATTTCACTGATTGAAATCATGAGTCAATTGAAGCTAGACCACCATGGAAGCACTGGACGGCCGTTTTGTCTTAGTATGGGACTCCACCCTCGAGACTGATAGGTCCTGGGTTCGAATCGCGCGGGACGCGGGATCGTGGATGCGCACTGCTGAGGAGTCCCATACTAGGACAAAACGGCCGTCCAGTGCTTCCAGGTTTTCCATGGTGGTCTAGCTTCAATTGACTCATGATTTCAATTGGTGAAATTTCTAAAATCTCCACAAAACCCCTTCTGTTTATTTGCCCGAAAAAATATATACATCTATAAGTTATTGGATTATTTAAAACACTTCCTTTTAATACACACACACATGTCATTTACAGTGATTTTTAAAGTGTTCAAAATGGTATAAGGAAAAACCACCACAAGTTAAGCAAAAAGAAATGTAGCGACATTTAAAAATTTGGATGTGAATAGATTGTATATGAATTTGGTTTAAATGATTTGTGTGTGTGGAAATACAAACAAAATCAGTAAATCATTTAATAGAATAATTTATTATTCTATTATTACTACTCAAATTATTTGTTATTAAGTTAATATTGTGGTTGATAGTGGAATCTAACAGTGGAGTTTTGTTCCACTTACGATTCTTCAATTGAATGTTAAAGTTCACATTAAAATTCAAATCATGTACCTTACGTTTCAAACATCAAATGCATTATCTACTGAGTCTAGATAATCACTAGCTTGTGAGATCGGTATGAAATTTATTTGTAACTATCATTAGTTTTCAGTTGATGATACTAAAGAAGAAAACTGACTAGTCTCAAATAAGACGAAACATATGTCCTGAATTCAAATTTTAGTCACTATTCGGTTTTTGTAAAAACTTGGAACTAAATGTCAATAAAGAGACAATCCAATTAAAATGCATCTATCCTAACAGAGACTGATCGATAAGATAAGATGAAAAGGTCAATCTTCGTTATATCAATCTAATATAAATTTCGTTCCGGTACAACAGGTGTGAAATCTGTTTAAGTCAATATCTTTTGTATCAATTCAGTATGGATTTCATTCAGTGAGATATATATATATTCTCTATATAAAATTCAGTGTGAACTACATTCAGTATATATATTTTGTAGAACCTCAGTGTATTTTATTTCTAAATGTTATATTCTTAAATAATCAATAAATGTGTGTAAAAGGTGCATTACATAAATAAATTGTTTTTGAGGATCAGTCAATAAACTCTCCAACTGCATCTGTTTTCATATTCTTATTTTGTATCGTAAACATTGCAGCGGTTACTGATTTTAAATAATAAGAGTAGGACTTAAGTAACAACAATAATCAATTTTAATCTTTAATATTAGCAACGGTAACACACAAACACAAATAAAAAATTTTTAAGTTGTAAAATAAACTATTTAACAAGAAGATACGTGTATAGCACAATTTACGAGTTTCATATGATATGATATAACGGGAAGAAAGTTAACATTTGATCGGTTTGCTCATTATAAGTTTTGTTCAACATTATTTCCGTTTTAATTCAATGTGATGGTTACTCAATGTAGTATTTGTTTCCCTTTTCCAATGTGATCTTTTATTCTCTATGACATACATTATTCTTGTATTCCATTCACATAAACTATGCTCAGTTTGTGATTTGTTATAATTCTAAGTATTTTTCATAGATGTGATTTCATCCTAATTATTAATGAAAAATGGGTGTACGAATCAATATATAAATGAGTGTATTTTTGACTACAATCGTCGTTGTTGTGTTTTGATGGTTAATGAATAATCACTTATACCAGTCTTTGTGTTCTTACACACGCAGCGTGGGAATTGCAGAGGTTCCTCATTTCGAGTATAAGTAATAAGCGTTTCCGATATAACAATCAGCAACGACCAGATATAACAAGTATCGTTCAATCCACAAGACCTCTTATTGTTATTATTATTAACATTTGTATGATTCTGTTGATTCTGTTTCGTTCATACTAGTTTTCTTGCATTGTCCTAATGAAAAATGTGGAAGTCTGAATAGATACAAATAATTTGTCCCGGAGCTAATATTGACCTCCACTAACCAGTTATCTGGTCAAGTAAGTTTCTATTGATCAAAGCTGTTAATAATTTATCACAGGTGGATATAAATGTAACTAATATATATAGGGAGAGAGAGAGAGACCGAGGCACTTTGAATTGTCAAGTTGAAAACTAACACATTACTAACCTGATTATGATGTGTATCTTGTAAAGCAGCATTTTGTCCATTTTCCCTAGAAAAAAGAATGTTGTAGAAAACATTTGTATTTAGTAAATTAAAAATAGAGAAAATTAACTTATTACACAAACAACAATACACAGCAAAAACAAATGACTGAAGATAAAAAAGTTTATACCTCCCATTAATTAGTTTTTATATAATGATAACTGAGTTTAGTGTATTTCAATGTATTTAAACTACTTAATTACATGTTCGTGGTAGTTATCTTTACAGTTGGATTTAGAATAATGAAGTGAGAGAAAGTTCGACTTCTTAAGATCGGCCATGGCTTATATTAGGATTTGAGTAGAAGTAAACTATTTGAAAGATGTAATCATGTCTTAATTACTAAGTATCATAAAATTTAAGTGTTTAAGATGAAATTCAAAACATACATTATTGGGAATATAACAATCCAAATGGGATGGCAATATGCACATTTTAAAACAACTGACAGACCTTAATTAGACAATTATTGAGATCTATGTAGTATTTCTTAGCTGTTTTGTCTTGGTTTAAGTATCCAGTGAGAACGTGGATGCGTACTGCTGAGGGGATCTATACAAAAATAAAACTACTTAGTTTTCCTGTCCTTCAACATCTATTTGACTAAGATCAGTTCATGATGTAAAACTATAAAGATTCAACAACCCCCGCAATTCACCGATACTAAAAATAACAATATATCCACAAAAATAATCCTTTAAGTTGATAGAATTAATTTAATTTAATCGTAATATTAAGTATATAAATATATTCGTAAACACTCGAGCGATTGAAATCGAGCAATTCTAACGTTTCTCTTGTGATATATATATATATATATATATATATATATATATATATATATATATATATTCATTCTTGTTACGTGATTATTAAGTAACTAGATTATTATATATTCATATTCATTGTGTTATAAGCTTTCGGTTGACCCATTAACAGCTGTTAAACGAATTACTATTCTTAATATATTTCCAGTTTATTATTCAGTTTCACCTACTCACAGTCACTTTTCGCTCGATCATATATAATTATTACTTCCTTTAAGATGTAATATGGTCTGGTCTACTTGTATATAAAACATAATTGTCTAGAATATAAAAACGATCTTGAACTGATGATCATTGGTATTATGTCCTTCCTCTTCGATCAAGGCTAGTTTAGTATTGGGTCAACCAAAAAGCACTTTAATGAGTTTCGGAGAAAAAAATTATAATGTAACACACTTAAAAAATGTTATAGTAAGTCAAAAAGTCATAACTGTGTCGCCTGAACCACTTCAGTACAACCAATTATCTTAAAATAAATCAAAGGATAAAAAGGATGTTTTACAAGAACAAAGCAATAGACAAATAAGAAAGAAAAACACAAAACAAGTATACCATATAAGTAGTTTGATCAACCAGAAATTACTTCAAAAATGGATGTATGCTTAACAAAAAATGATAACAATTCCAAAATTCAATTATTAAATTATTATCTGTAGCTGAACTACATATGCAGATTAACTGTTTTGTAAATTTTTTTTCTGCATAGTCTACAATATAGACTGATCTTAGATAAACGCTGAAAACCATTTTACTTATTAACCGTAGTTAAGTTATATTCTGCTCTCAGATTATTAAAAATTACTTTTAAATGAACTGTTCAGATATAGAACCGTAATATGTTATTATCTCATATATTGGCATTTTCCATTTATACTTCTTCTTCATCGTGTGAATCGTCTATTCAATGATGTGAATTTTCGAGTCACGTATAGTATGAGCTGTCGTATTCACTGACTTCTGGTTAGGTAAGAAACTCTACGAAGGCCAACAGCGTTCACAAATCATACCACTCACTCAGAGCACTCATATTATTGGTTCAGGCATGACGGTATAAAAGGTTCTTCAGTAAACTTTTGATGCGATAAGATACATTAGCAATCTTTTAGAGAAAGTTTCAAATATTTTCTCAGTGATAAGAAAGCTTTTAACGAGAACTAACATCACTTGGTGAACTATTTTTCGACAACACACACACACACAGAAAGAGAGAAAGCATTGGACAATTATTTCATCCCATATCGAGATTTATCAATCATATGTTGTGGGTGTATGTCCAGTCTACACCTGCTCAACCACGCAACACTTATACACACTTAACAGTTTATTATCGAATAAAACAACAGGGAGAGATTTTGAAACAAAGAATTCATCGGTAAAAATAATGTTGTTTACTTGTATCCATTTATGTTTATTGTTTAAATTTTAACAATAGAGTGATTCCATTATCATATTTTACTTTTCATCCAGCATGCACACACAAACACACCGATCTGCTTTAAATGCTATTGTTTTGTATGTAATGAAAGCAATATATATGAGCAAAAATAAATATATAGCTTCAAAAATAAGTAGTACGGAGTATTATCAACATAAGTTTTTGCAAATTATACCATCACAAAAAGGTATGCGAAAATATCACATGAAAAAATCTATCTTTTATACATACATGTAAATATATACTACTGAAATCACCAACCATAACAGTATCCTAGGAAAAATAGTTTTGAACTGACGTATAACATGTATTCTTTATGCATCATTCCATGTAGGCTTCAGAGAATCAAGGAGAATGTGAGGGGAGTTACAAGGTTTTTTTCAGTCTTTCTGCTTCCATGTGAGCACAACAACAATCTAATTGTTACTTCAATGTAATTTCTATAAATTAGGCTACTGTAAGTATGAGACATTATTCAATATAAAATTGTTTCAATATCACGCCTTAGCGACGAAACAAAAGCAAATGATATAAATGATACACACAATAACAATAATATATATCGTCAAATTATGTACTTCTGACTATAACTGTTATCCGTTTATGAATATTTAGTTTTGTTACAGTATTTTTATTACAAAACAACTATTATCATGTGTATATATTACAAATGATATAAATGTATATTGACTTGAGTGAATTTTTATATTAAAAAAAAAACAAAATCAGTGTTGTAAAATGCAACTCAACTTAATTTACATGCATGTATACCAGTTTTATGGCTCTCGTAGTGCTAGTTACTTAGGCCGTACTCAGAGACGCCTATTTTTGTATGTTCTAGAAAATATACCTATATGGTGAGGATATTCAGTAATGAAGTTAATCAACAGAACTATACTTTCTCACTTAATAGATCGAGGACATTATATAAAAATCGATGAAGCCTTCTTGGTTCTGTATCATGTCCCAAACAATCTATCTAAAAAAGCAAGATTACGCCTCTTTTACATAGGACAAATCAATAGGATTAACTCCAAACAACTGAACTTATGCATTAAAAGAAGTATATTCAACCGTTTCGCTTACCATAATCGATGATTGCTTCATCTCGCATTAAAATCATATAAGAGACCCTTACTTCTAACTCCTTTTCATGTTTATTTCTGCTCTCTTATACCCTTAATTTCCATATTCATTCATCTCAGTTTTAAATAACATTTATCTTAATACATGAAATTGACATTATTGACCTAGTTAAAACTTAACTGGTTCAAAAGTTCACTATTTTCAATATATAACACTGTTTAATTCAATTATTTACATAGTTCTCATTTTGGACATTGCAAGACAATAATGATGGATTTATAATTATAGAGTCCGATGACTAAGTAATTTAAAAGGATTGTTTTATCAAGCCTCCTTTCTTTTGAATATCTTTAAACTTATGTATGATTAAGATATTGACATGTTAGTCAAAAAAAAATAAGCATGGCAGTCAAATTCCAGTACCATTGGGTGGTAAATGATCTACAAAATCCGAAACCTACAATCATTTGTTTAGTTCTGTGTGAAATATGTGATTTATAAGTGCATATTTAATACCATATAAAACAACCCTTTCTTTACTGATCAGTTCTACTTATTTTACATTCATTTTTTTCTGGATGTTTCGTCAATAATATAACTTCATTGTAAATGATCATTCGGCATACATTATTCATATCAAATCAGCCAATCGATCATACAACCATACATCATACTTTGTTATAACTGTAATAAACATTATACGTAGAAAAACAAACAATAAAATTTATTAGATATGGAGAATAAGTTTATATTAAGTATTCTTAAGCAGGAAAAAGCCGAATCTACTTTTAAATATTTCACAAAATGAAATGTAAAATATTGATTGTATTAGGCCAAAAAAGTTTATACCAGTTATCTACTGAACTCATGTCATAAATGTGTCAGATGCTTCTCAAAGCTACTAAATATGAGGCGAAAATTTAAATAAAATATTATCCAGTAGTCATAATCAAAAAGAATTGGCAATCGAGTCCTTTTACGGAACTAAAATAGGGTGCATAATATGACATGAATGACAACTAATAAGTAACTATTGTCCATATCAGAGAGTGATCTTTATCAGACATACGTTGAAACCCAGGAAGCACTGGATAGCTATTTAGTCCAAATTTTGAACTCCTCACCAGTATACACCCATGGCCTCACTGAAAACCGAAACCAGGACCTACAGGTTATGTGATGAACACCTAACCATGGGACCACGGAGTTGGAATCCAATGATTTACATGTAAAAATATCGCGGATTAAGAAAGTTAAATATCTGGATACCAGCTTAGTTATTGAAGGGTTACGTGCTAACTGAAAAACTTGCGGATCATGGTTTAACTCTCCAGTTGGGCCGTATATGTATGTACTGTTGGGGAGTTCCGTAATAGGACAAAACAACCGTCCAGTATCCCCCGATTTTTAATGGCTATCTAACTACAGTCATTCTGTGATCTGAACTATGAAATCCAACAATCTTTACAAACCTTCTAAATTAAGAACAACTATTATTATTCTGACTTCAATATATCTATTGAAGAATGAAATTAAAAAACAAAGCCAGAGAATTATAAAGCAATGTTTATTACTCTTTTTTAATGTTATAAAGGACGAACCTCCTGTCTTTCAAGTCTAAAAGATGATTGAATTAAAAACTATAGTGATAATTAAACA